AACCTCCCTGGGCAGCCTGGGCCAGGGCTCCGTCACCCTCAGAGTGAAGAAGTTCTTCCTCGGGTTCAGCTGGAGCTTCCTCTGCTTCAGTTTGTGCCCATTGCCCCTTGTCCTGTCACTGGGCACCACTGAAAAGAGTCTGGCCCCGTCCTCCTGACCCCCACCCTACAGATATTTGTAGGCATTTCTAAGGTCCCCCCTCAGTCTTCTCTTCTCCAGGCTGAACAAGCCCAGCTCCCTCAGCCTCTCCTCGTAGCAGAGATGCTCCAGTCCCCTCCTTATTCTCACAGCCCTCCGCTGGACTCTCTCCAACTGCTCCTCATCTTTCTTGAACTGGGGAGCCCAGCACTGGACACAGCACTGCAGATGGGGCCTCACCAGGGCAGTGCAGAGGGGGAGGAGAACCTCCCTCGACTTGCTGCCCACACTCCTCCTAATGCATCCCACAACAGACCTGTGTCCCGCCTCACCCCCTCCCCGCAGCAGAGCTGGCCAGCAGCGAGGCAGCAGATGTGCTGCTGTCGGTGCTCCTGCCCTCTCCTAGGGCATGGCGCTGGGTGGAAGGGGACCTGCTCTGGATTTACTGGGATTGTCCTCCTGCCCCCAGCTGATCCAGTTCAAAGCAGACATCAACGCCGTGAACGAGCATGGGAACACGCCTCTGCACTATGCCTGCTTCTGGGGACATGACCAGGTGGCGGAGGTGAGCTAAAGCACTTGGACACAGGTGGGAGCCCAAGGCCAGGGAGGTGGCTGGGGGGGCACCAGGAGGGAGAGGAGGCTGAAAAGAGCACAGCAACCTGTGCAGATGCTTGCATTCTCCTCCCTCAGGACCTGGTGGGCAATGGGGCCTTGGTCAGCATTGCTAACAAATATGGTGAGACGCCCATTGACAAAGCCAAGACACCACTGCGAGAGGTCTTGAAAGGTAGGAGGTTCTCATCCCAGCCCCACCGCCTGCCCCTGGCTCCTGCTGCAGCCCCAGCGCTCGGCGTCAGCCAGCTCTCTGCTTGTGCTGCCAAACTGCTTGTCCCTCCAGAGCGTGCCGAGAAGCTGGGCCAGAGCCTCACCAAGATCCCCTACAAGGACACCTTCTGGAAGGGCACGACGCGCACACGTCCCAGTAAGGACAGAGCCTTTGCTAAGGGGATGCTGTTGCAGGGGGAGCACAGCTCTCCACGGTGGGGCAGGCCTCTGGGGAAGGGGCGGCAGGCTGCACTGCACATGGCTCCTTCTGGAGGTGGAAACCCCCTCACTGAAGGTGGCTCCTCACGGGAGTGAGGTGTCCCACCGGTACCGCCTCCCTCCGCAGTCCCCGGCGGACGTCGGGACGAAGGTCCATGCTCCCACAGGCTGCGTCTGCTCCTTGTCTTGCAGGAAACGGGACTCTCAACAAACTTGCTGGAATAGACTTCAAACAGCTGAGCTTGAGCCAAAAACTCAATGAGAACCAGTCAGGAGAGGTACGCAGGCCAGTTGCCCCCCGGGACAGGGTGGCTGCGCCCACGCAGACCGCTGCTCTCTCCAGCCCCTGGCTGGCTGCGGAGTGCAGAACTGGGGCACAACGGCTTGGTGGGCTTCCCCGTCCAGGCATGGGGCTAGCCCACGCAGAGGGACGGCCCCTGCCCAGGGCTGAAGGGCCGGGGTTTTCTCTTGCGCCTTGTTGTAGTCACTCCATGTTGCTGTTGGTCCGGCGGGCTCCGTGAGCCCCACCACCCCACGCGAGGGGCTGAGAGGGGCTCGGGGACCGTGTGTCCCCTCACAGTGCTCATCTCCACCTGTCTCCCTGCAGTTGTGGAAAGGGCGCTGGCAAGGCAACGACATTGTCATCAAAATGCTGAAAATCCGGGACTGGACAAC